GAATCGGGTAATTCAGGTGCCGTGAGACCCGTCCTTCGGTTCCTTAATAGTGGTCTGGATTCCACTAATAACCTGACGGTGTCTATTGAGGGACCGAAGGACTGGTGCGCCAAGGGGCTACGGGGAATTTCCACTCGACCAACATGCCGTCGAAGCCTAGATTGACAACCAAGATGTGTAAGTCTTGCCCGTCACTGCACGTTAAGCCATCTTTGCAGCTGTCTTTGGATTGGAATGAACCTATTCCAGAGGCTGTTGAATTTCCATACGTGACGAAGGGCCGAAGAGGTCGGGGACAAGTACCGTCAGAATGGCGAACCCACGGAATGGGGGCCTGCGCGGGTGTTACCCTACCTTGCCCTTTATCTTGTACTACACAGCGCACGACGCAAAGTGACAACCACTGCGTTATGAACATCGGAGTCTTACACTGAGACCGTATTTCGCGGGCGCATTATCACGAGCAAGTGGAATTAATGAAGCTGGCAAGTAATTCGCAACGCGACCAAATTTCTGTTTGCCTCCAATATTTCATGGCAATTCAAGACTGACCCGATCTCATATTCTGCGATGACATCTTGCCCCAGAGACCCCTGCAGGGTTGCAGACGTGCAACCTCACAACCGATGCAGAGGAGAGGGTCAACATCAAAGATCGACCTTCTGCTTCTCGTATCTTTCTCAAAATCGATTTTAGATGACTGACTGAACCACGACTTGCTATGTCGACGAGAAACTGTGGACTTTTTGTTGTTCAAGTTCCTGTTGTGCCTGGCAAAGATCCGCGTCAAAAGTAGGTAAATACATGATGGAGGCCTTGGGACAAGTCCAATAGGGCGAAGACCCCCTTTTACTGGAAGGATGTCTCCTCCGTCAGGCACATCTGTCGACAAGTACTGGCCGTGAATATCAATCCAACCTAGATGACAGTTATCGCACAAAGTCTTGAGCAAGCGTGCCGGCTGTCTGCAACGCGTTGTCGATTGATACGCACACTCAGTGGTATCATTCCTACTTTCAAACCATCACTGCAACAGCTTCTTTGTCTTACAGAATCGGGAAGGCTTTCGTGCAGGATCGCAAAAGATTCATGACAGACTCTCTCCGTGGTTTCATCTGACCTTCATTTGCGTCTATGGCGAAGAACCAGAGCTACGAGTCCCTGCGCATGACCCTACGAAACATGAACGAAGTTTACAATAGTGGGCCTCTTTCAGTACTAGGGACAGACCGTCACTGGTGAACATCACGGCACCTCATGACGAAGAAAAGGTGACCAGCGACCTGCATAAGGCATACGAAAACGCTTGGCTTAGCGGTTGACATGCTGCGAGAGCGCGGATCCATATACATGAACGTTTGCATGAGGACTTGGCTGTAGTCAGATGTTTTGTTTTGGTTACCGGAACGATTCGTAGGTGAAGTAGAAGTCTAGACTTGAGTACGGACGGATCCGTGATATGCCGCGCAAGACCCAGCAGCCCCTTTATGTTTCATTTGTCGTCAGCATTCTTTTTAGGGCTCCTAGAACGCCGGCGCCCATTCTGGCCGACGAAATCTGCAGAACTAGATCGACAGGTCACTGTTGGTGCTTCTGTGGACTCATTGCCCTCGACAGAGTATGAGGGACATAGGAGCATCAAGGGGTAATGAGGCTTTACGGGTCATGTTTACACGAGGCGCTAAGGCCGAGCTCAGTACATCTTTGGGGCTTCACTGCTTACAGGTACAGAATCAGTGATCAAGTTCCAAGGAATGCGTGCATTTTCGGTGCCTGGCCAACTCCAGATCCTCGATAGCCACAGCGTCTTGCCCCTGAGGCACTCGTTCTGTGGGGTAACGCAAGCCTAGCTAGGAGATTAACGTGGTGCGAATGTTTCGTTTTGTTTCGTTCGATTAAACCCCAAGCAAGCTAAACTCTAGGAAATTTACAAAAGCAAGCGAGCTTGATCCTAGAAATAGAAACGGCGGCGCCCTGTCCCAAGAAAGTCAGGCACAATCTTCCATCTTTGAGAGTCCAGATGTACTGGCTCTTCTTAGCCGAAGGTAGCGTACTTGGCCACTGAAGCCAAAAGCTGGAGTGATTCATTGTTTGGTACTCAAACAGATGAACAGACCCTAGTCGCGTGTCTGCCTTACTTTTATGTACTCAACCCGGCGATTTGTATGTTACTGCAGTGCTTACTGGTCGGCACTCAAGGAGGTGTGCTTGTGATGATCTATTTTACGAAGCGTCAGGACTGTAAAAGGACACTGTTCCAACGCTCGAGGTCGAGCAAAATTTCAGCAACTTGTGCCGTACCCGGAATCAGATACTTCGCAGAGAGAACAGGTGCACTAACTACAAACAGCAGCACTTGTTTTCCGAGGATCTCGGGGCGCGATGTTATCGTCTGTGCCGAGCCCACTTATCCTCGTCAGGGGACGCCCCTCTTTGTGAATACCGCCTAACCTTGTATTGTAAAGTTGTTCCTGACGATCTTGAGACATTCAACGGCTTCAAAGATACGCTAGGCTCATGCAGAATATTTCCGAGGGCCAGGTCGTCTGCGAGGTATGCTTACGAGAACACCGTGTAACAAAATGCGACGGTCTTGTCGTGGCTCTTAAGTCAACATGAGGCGGTTCCTTTGGAAACGAGCTCAACAGGCGGGATCGAAGTGATACGATGCGAAAAGAGTCTACTTCGTTGCAAAACCGAAGCCAGCCTGGCTTGGACAGATGATGTTCCCTGTCACACTCTCAAAGGCTCAGCGACTGCCGGCAAGGTGCAGGAAAGTTCATTGATACTGGCCAATCGTGCGGACATCTCCAGTCACAAGTCTTCCCAAGATGGGAATATCATGTTTTCCTGATTGTCTAGTAAGTCTACATCACAGAGGCCAGTGAGCATTTCGGCAATCTACCTGATCACGGGAATTGTTCACCACAGTGGAAAATAGTCTAACATTGCCGTATAGACTGGGCTTGCTGACGTTAGTCTGTATCTGAAAAGACTGAGGGGATCTAATAGTCCGTCAGATATTAAGTCTTGCGCCTTACTTCTTCCGACATTTGGTCATAAGGATTGGCGCTGTTTTCGCTCCCTGAGATAATTATTTACAGGCTTGAGCCCGGTGTAAGCGGGGAATGGCCGTTTCTCGGTTGACGGGTTCGACTTGTTTCCGAACTGCCGCTGCTTGGATTGACGTCTCTAGCTCTCAATTGAGGGCGCAGACGAGCTATGGTCACGGGACAACGCCATAGCAAGGCTGTCCCTTACCTGAGCTGAGCTTAAACGGAGATCATCAAGGGCGACGGCGGCTAGGTTGGAATGATCGGCATGAACGTCCATGGATGGTGGTGTGTCGTAAGCGATGTAGCTAGCTGTCAGGCACAAATCTGAAATGTGGGTGGATAGGACCGAATGGAGTCTTTAGCTAGACTCACGATGCGAGCATACATAACTTTACCACATGAAGCCGTTGCTTTCGACAAGGCGAACCGCAAGCTTAGACACATTCACGTCCATTTACGACACGTGCCGTCTAGACAGTCAGTTGACATGGGCAGATTTCTGCCTGGGCCAGCAACCGTGACTTATCAAACCGACTAGGACTCCACGATGGCCTAGATGAGAATGGACCTGAACTTTCGGTACTCCAGTCATCATTATCAATCTCGAGGGACAAGGTCACCCTGTCGAACTGCCAAGCGCGTCCGATGGTGATTAGGCCGTTCTGCCGGCCGTCGTCTTGATCCATTCGTGAGTCGTGGCATTGAAAGCGCTTATACCGGCAGTTGTTGGTAGGGCATCCCTGGATCACCACGCGAAGTTTGAACGGCAGCTTACTGGGGACAGAACTAAGGTTCGAACCTGCTCAATGAAACAAGACTATTCGCTCAATCTCCTGACAACCCGCCAAAAAGCTCCGAAGTCAAAAGCTTGAAACAGACTTCAAAGTCTATCACTTCCCCAAATCCCCTCACCCGGGTTCCTGTAAAAGCCTTCATCCCGCATTTTACTTTCAGCCGCTGTGCCGTTGTCCCGCGGGGTCGTCCGTCGATAACAAACAGATCTAAGATAAGTTGTGTCTCCCAAAGTAAAAACCAAGCGATGGGTGTCTGAAATGACGTGTGAAACGTAAATCGGTGATCGCAGTCTATCGTCAGGGAAACCGACAGATCGAAACAGCAGCCTCCTCTTGCTGGCCCTAGTTCATCGCATGATCCTGTGTTCCAAAGGTCTTGGCGGACATTAAGAATTATTGGAACCGCTGGTCTGTCTGAAAAGTTCTCCATCCCCCCTAACGACAACTATTCAAAACAAGTCAAGAACGAGCCCAAAATCCTTCGCGATCAGCCAGGCACTGACTTGAATCTATTCTACCACCATACGCAATGATTAGGCTGCCATGGGCTATGTGAGCCCCCAGTCCTACCAGCCGATCCTATCATCTGAAATGTCCTGCGTCTGCCTTGCTGCTGAACCAATCTTCGAAAATGTGCTCGAACGATGTTTGCCGTCACAACCACGCCGCTTAAGCACATTTCAACCGACCCGCTCGTCGAGCCTTATACTGCCTTATTCAAGTATAGTGAGTGCAGAACTATTGAATCTGTGATGCAAGCTAAGTTCTGGAGGGAATACTAGCCGATATGCCAACATGTGGGCGTACCCCGAAGAAGGTGGAAGCTCCGAATGCGTGCACCTCAATCCTTCACCAGCAACTCAGGGACGACCATTTGCATGCGACTAAGATGTACGTGAATGCTCGCTTGGCAAGTGGAAAAATGGCGCATACGATAAGCGGCCGCCGTCGATATGCATCTGCCTTCAAGATAACCGAGCCCCGGCCCGTTGCGGCCGCGCCGCTGAACAGCTACAAAAGTACCCTTTCCAAATCTTGACGTACCTTCGGCCATTGAACTGACTATAAGCCAGGGCTTCTGCATTTGGGTGACACAAAGATTCTAGAGGCCATTGCGAGAGCGCAGAGAGATTCGCAAGTTCCGTTCCTGATGGCTTGGTTCTTCACCCTTCTCAGTCCTCGGGGTCTTGATACCATTTCTATAATCTTGTACCTGCTCGCTTTCTACGTCGTCGCAAAGTACACCCACCGAGCTCTCTTATGCCCCTTGTCCAAATTCCCTGGGCCCAGGCTTGCTGGTATCACCAAGCTTTACGAGGCATACCACGTTCTGATCAGGAACGACTGGCTCGAGAACCTTGAGTCGCTGCACGAGAAGTACGGTATGGTTGCACGCCTCCCAAACTTCTATAACCACTTCTGATGTACATCTTAGGCCCAGTGGTCAGAATCGGCCCAAACGAGCTGCACTTCATTGACCACCAATTCTGTCTGGAGTATCACAAGCGTCCAGACCTCCTGAAATGCGACAACTACTACGGACTTCTCAACAAACTTCTCGGAGGCTTGGCGAGTCCGACGAAACACATTCAAAGAGCATCAGCCGTGCGACCTATATTCTCAGGGAAGACGCTGGCACAGTTCACACCAACTCTAGACAGCCACCTTGAGTCTTTCTACAAACGTCTCAAGGATGTCGCCGGGACCGATGATGCCGTCAACTTGACGCACTACTTTTGGGCTTTCACCAACGACGTTATGGTGTCATATCTCGTCGAAGAGGACTATGGGTTTCTGAGGATCTTCGACCTAGAATCCGTGCACAACAAGACTCGAGCGTTCAGCGCGATTGACCTCGCCACCGTCTTGAGATGCATGCCTCCCATTAAGTTCATCTTCGACCATTTTACTATCCTTCGATCCTACTCACCACTTGGTTGGCTTGATACTGTTAGTTGCTCTCCTAGGAATATGACACACATGTGCTAACACACTCTCAGCTCGTCAGTAATCACGTTAAACCTATCGTGAAGTCATGGGACGATGAGAACAGCTACGAGGGCATCCTTGCTCGCATATTCAACGAAATTGGCAGCGAGACTCTGACCATCCATGAGTCATCGCAGGCTATCTTCATCGGAAACGAGTCGCTTCTCAGTAACCTCACGTTCCTACTGCATCACCTGGTACAAAACCCGGACTGTATCAAGAAAGTGAGGAATGAGCTCGACACACTTGATCTCGGCTTGTACGGCCACAGAATCTGGCGAGACCCGAGGGTGCTGCAGTTGAGGTATCTGGTAAGCATTTGTGCTGTTTGTTTAGTATGGCTGGAGACTGAGACTTGCACAGGATGCGGTGTGTAAGGAGTCAACTCGCCTAAGCTCTCCGGGATGGCATCGACAGCCACGACAAAGTCAATCACCAGTAACATATCAGGACTCCATTATCCCTCCAATGGTAAGTCCGAATCATTTGTCTGCTAGCAAGTATCCTACTGACTTGATGTAGACAAGCATGAGCTTCACCTTGAGGCTCCTCGAACATGACCCAGAACTTTACCTGGAGCCAAGCACTTTCGACCCTCAAAGGTGGCTAGGAATTGACGAGGATACAAAAGAGGCGAGGAGTCGTGCTGTAACATTTGGGACCGGAACCCGAACTTGCTTGGGTCAGCAGTGAGTAGCGATCTGGACCAGGAAGCCGCCGACGCACAGCGCTAATTTACTATTCCTAGCATTGCTCAAAGGGTATTGCGGAAGACGATCGCTTGTATTCTATACAACTTCAATGTCTCTCTTTGGGACCAAAAGCTTGACATGACGACTGGTTACAGATACCTGGACACGTATCCCAAGAAAGGGTGTGAAGGCTACATGAAGGTTCGGTTGTCGCCCCGATTCGAGCATAAGGCATGATGAGTTTCAGTTCAGTCTATGATACCACCAGATCCCGATAGAAAGGGAGGTTGTGAGATTTAACTATACCACCTGTCGTTTAGACTTAGCATACCAACATCAACCCAATAATACCCACGTTAATGCGCATGCATGATCGCAAGTGACAGTGAGGATGCGACGACTCATCTAACCCGCGATCGTATCTGTGGGCATGGGCTGGTTTGCTGCCACAAACGGTTTCGGCGGCCACTCTCCAGCTTCGAAAGCACATTCAAACTCATGAACCCCGGAAGAAACCTTCAACGTAGGTTCCCCATCCCCGTTAAATCCTTCACGCAACCCCGACGGCAATGTCATCACTGCGGAACAACTCGGCGGTACGCTCAGCTTCATCTTGAAATTGCCGCCCGCGAGCTTCCACTCACAAGCCACTCTTCCGTAGGGCCCGTCAAATGAGACCTTTGCGCTTGTGAGGTTGCCTCCAGGGACGGGGCGCACACGGATGACCTTCCACCCTGGCTCAAGGGGCGATATTCCACCCACAGTTCCGTGAAGCCAGTCCGCCACCGCGCCGAGGGCGTAATGATTGAAGCTGGTCATCTGGCCAGGATTGATGCGGCCGTCTGGCAACATGCTGTCCCAGCGCTCCCAAATAGTCGTCGCACCCATTGCGACGACGGGGTACATCCAGCTAGGGCACGTTGTCTCAAGAAGCATGCGGTACGCAAGCTGAGGCCGGCCGATCTTGGTGAGAGCATGTGAGATGACTGGTGTACCAGCGAATCCAGTGCTGATGTGAAACCTTGCCGTGCGAACCAGTTTTTCCAACGCTTTTGCGGCGGTCTGACGTTGAAAGGCATCGTTCGGATACAGACCGAATTGGAATGCAAGTGCAAGACCGGTCTGAGAGCTCGACATCAGGTTTCCTTCCGGGGTGATGTAACGCCGCTGGAAGAGCTGCATCAACCGTTCGCCATCACTAGCATACCTTGCAGCCAGGTCAGCTTTGCCTAGCTCAGCGCAAAGTCGAGAGAAGACCAAAGTCGTGTGGACAAGGTACGCATTCGCCACGAGAATGCTATCCGTTCGTCCGTTGCCTGGATCGTCAGGAGGCGCAGTTGGGTCCAGCCAATCTGCAAGCTGCCACTTGTCAGGGTTCCAAAGACCATCCGACGCCCGGTCGACTCCTTGGTCTAACCAGGCTTGCATGCTGGCAAACTGTCGCTCTAGTAAGCCCTTGTCGGAGCTGTATCTGTAGAGGGCGTCTGGAGCCAATACAGTCACGTCGTCCCATACAGCTTGTGCGATGTGAGGCCAATTAGGGCTGATGGCAAGCGGCACTACCAACGGCGGGATGCCCCCTTTTCCATCTTCAAGCTGCTCGGCCGCGACATCCTGGAGCCAGTTACCGAGGATCCCCAAGGTATCGTACAAGAACGTAGCCGTTGGGCAAAACACCTGTAAGTCGCCAGTCCAGCCAAGGCGCTCGTCTCTTTGCGGGCAGTCGGTAGGAATAGAGAGGAAGTTTCCTCGCATAGACCAGACGACGTTGCTATGAAGTTGATTGACATATGCGTTGGAACACTCGAAGAACCCTCGCCGCTTCATGTCTGTATGCATGACAAGTGCGCTGATGTCCTCGGTTGATGGAGCGCCACCTGGCCATCCGTCAACTTGAACGAAGCGGAAGCCATGGAAAGTGAACTTGGGTGTCCAGTCTCGAAGTTCCTGCCCCGAACCGATGATGATATCGAGAGCCTTGGCGTCCCTGAGAGGCCTAGTGCCAAGCTCATCGTTCTCCATGACTTCGGCATGTCTGAACGTAACCTTCGCCCCTTTCTCTAGTTTAAGGGACTTGGCGTGGAGCTTTCCGACGAGGTTCTGCCCGAAGTCTAGGATCGTCTTGCCGCTCTTGCTTTGGAACACTTTGACGCAGGGCTTGGTCTCGATCACACGAACAGGCGGCGCGTCAGGGGCAACCAGCTTCGTCTGTGGCCATGGCAGGACCTTTGTCCTAGGTGCCTTGGACCAGTCTGTGTCTGTCAGGTTCCATCCCTGCTTCTCTTCGTTCAGATCGTATGTCTCGCCGTCGTATATCTCACTGTTTGTAATAGCGCTCGGGAGAGAAGACCAGGTGTCGTCCGACAAGAGTGCCCACGGCTCAGCCGACAGGGACCTAACCTCAAGCTGCGCAAACAAGCCAATCACGTCGCCATAGCGGAAGCGAATACCACCCTTGAACCCAAGGCGTCCAGCATACCAGCCCTCGGCTACCTCGACGCAGATTGTGTTCTTTTTGCCAGGAAGTAGAAGGTTCTTCACGTCAAGGATTCGGTAGACGAGCCGGTGTCGGTAGCTGGTCCAACCGGGGGCCATGCACTCATCCGTAACTGGCTTTCCGTTGATGGTGGCTTCAAAGACGCCAAGAGAAGTGATGTAAAGTCGCGCTGAACAGGTGTCGAGCTTGATGTTACTGGGGAGGGTGAACTCTTTGCGGAATCGAATAGGCCGCAGCGGCCCACGAGGGCCGATATGCTCGGAGGAGGTGATGAAGCTGGCTCGGAAGTCTTCTCGCTTCAGAAGGGCGGCTTCAACAGTGGCCGGCTCTGACCATGGGCTTGGATCTTCAGCCTTGTATGCACCGTCACTGAGACTCTTTCCATACACACGAATTCGAACTGTGGCGGAGTCTCGTGACCCCAAATCTCGAGCTGGCCAAGGCACCAAGACGGATTGGTCACTGGTTTCGCGGAAGATTTGGGGCTCGCCATTTGGAGCGAACGTGATTTCGAGCTCGTAGGCGGCTTGAACCCAAGCTGCGACCGTGGTATCTGATGTTTGGAATTGCCAAGAGATTCTGGGTCTGGAATACTCTACACCAAGGCCGCTGTGGTGGTGTTCAAACACCGGCTTGGTGACGGTGGGACAAGACATGGTTCGGACGTATCGTCAATGTTGGTTTGCAGTTCATGGGCTCACATCTCCCAGGAAACTAGTAGATGAAATATTCCCAGCCCAAAGACTCTTCACCTGTGCTAAGATGATCAAATTCCCGGTGCAAAGGGGTCCGAATCGGGGAGTCTAGGTGCGAGATATTTTCTCTTGTAGCAGAGGGATACCGGCATCGGCATATGAAGATCGCCGGGCATCTCTCCGCATCTGCCAAGGACGAAATGCGGCTTGATACCGTGATGCAAAGGGTTGGATGACGGGAATAACCCGAGCAAGCTCGATTCTACTGGCGGAGTCTCCGCATCCCCGCAGGAGCTAAGGCTCACCTCCCTCGCGATCTCGGTACTACCTTACAATAATGAGACGATCCTTGCGTGGGCTGCCGATGCTGGTCCCAGACTCTTGGGTTATTGCTCGCATAGTGCCGAGGCCATCGGGTTACCTTTGCACCGAATAGTCTATAGGAGACCAGGGAGGCAATAACACACAAAAGTAGATAAGCAAAACCCCGGATTCCACTTGCATGGAGGAACCACCGTTCCCCAGACGTCGTTCTACTCCACACTTGATACCTCGATCAGCATGAACTTTCTCATCGTCGCCATAGCGCTTGTCGCTGCGCAGGGCGGCTTCATCTACGGCTTCGATTCTGGTAGACAACCGTCCAAGTCTATCAGAAGAAACTGGCTAACTCTATCTAGGGATTATTGCCACAACTTTTGGCCATGACAGTTTCAAGCTCAAGATGTACGGGCCTTCCATGGTCAATACAGCGTACACGGGCGCAATCGTTTCCGTCTACAACGCCGGCCAGGCCATCGGCGGCATGACGACCGGATATCTCGCCGACAGATTCAGCCGAAAGTACACGATTCTTATTGCATCGATTCTGACTATCATTGGGTCCGTTCTCCAATGCGCCGCCATGGAGGTTGGAATGATGATTGCTGGACGTCTGATAGCAGGCATTGGATGCGGCGAGCTGCTCTCCGTTGTTCCCATCTACCTTGCTGAAGTCGCACCACCTGCCCGTCGTGGGTTTCTCGTTGGACTACAAGGAATGATGATTGCCATTGGTTTCGGAGTCGCCAACTGGGTTGGGTTTGCTGGGGCCTTTGCCTCTGGAGATGGACAGTGGCGGATCCCATTGGCGATGCAGCTCCCTATCCCTCTTGTCCTCTCCGTCATGGTGTTCTTCGTTCCCTTCTCGCCCCGTTGGCTGATTCTCAAGGATCGATACGAAGAAGCCAAGACGGTTCTGGCCAATCTGCACGGGGCGACGGATAACGACGACCTGGTCGGGCGAGAGCTCATCCAGATCAGGGAGCAGATCTTGATGGAGAGGCAGCAGGGCAACATGAACTGGGCGACGGCCATCAAGCAGATGTTCTCGCGCCAGTACGTCCGTCGCACTCTCACCGCCGCCTTCATCGTCACCATGGGCCAGCTCAGCGGTTCCTCCGTCATTCAAAACTTCCAAAACATCTTCTACGCCACTGTTGGATTCACGGGTCGAACGGCTCTGCTCATCAGCGGCGCGTACGGCATGATGGGTATCATAGGTCAGGTCATCTACCTCGTAGTGGTGGCAGACCGCTGGCCGCGAACGCGCACCCTCTGGAGCGGCTCTCTCGTACTGAGCGCCATGATTGCTCTCTGTATGGCTTTGAGTGCGGTGTACGGCAACAAGGACAACGACAATGCTGCTGGAGCGAGAGCGGCCATCGCGGCAATCTTCGTCTACTCCATGTGCTACGCAATCTTCTTCAACGCCATGATCTGGGTCGTGCCTTCGGAGCTGTTCCCCTTCTTCCTTCGTACTAAGGGTCTTGCCTTCGCGGTAGCGACGAAGTCAGTCACCGCTATCGTGCTTTCGCAGATTACGCCACTTGCTATCGCGTCTGTAAGCTGGAGGTTAGCTAGCCCTTCTCATATGCACCTCGCCTCATACCTTACTAACACGATTCCTAGGTACTACTCACTCTTCATCGCAACGAACGTCGCAGCGGCCGTCTTTTACTTCTTCTTTCTCCCTGAAACGGTAGGTACCATTAGTCTCTGCTCAA